TGCCCCCAAAACTGCAAAGAGCAAATAGGAAAACAAGAAGGGAGGGAAAAGGGCGCAAATCCCTCCAAAATTTCTGACACAAACCCCACTCAGATCGCAACGTTCAAAAAAAAAAATTCCAAAACCCGCACCAACGCCCGCTCTTACCACTTTTTCCCCTCGAAAAATAAGATTTTTAACACATAATAATAAAATTGCGATATAAACGGGGCTGGTAAGGCAAGTTCAAGCCAGGATATGGATGGATCTGTCCAAAGGAGAGAAAAATATTGGAAAGAGAAGAAGAAAAAAAAAAGGGTTGCGCAGAGCCGAACGATTCGACTGATTTGACTCGCCCGCTCCACCAAAACTCTCCCTGCTGTGAGTGCCTTCTCTCTCTCTCTCTCTCTCTCCCCCTCTGAGTCGATCACGCGACTGATTCGGCGATAATCCCTACAATTTTGCTTTTCTCTTTTTCCCCTCTCCTTCTTCTTCTCCCTTCAGTCTCTCTCTCTGTAACTCGGTGAGTTAAAAACAAACGAACCCTATGAGGTTTGCTGCGATAGCTTATTAGTATTATTATATTGTAGGGTTCGGGGGTGAAATGGAAAGAAACGGGAATAGGGAGGGCTAAGCCGGGGATTGCATGCTTACTACGGTGTCGTTCTAAAAAGTGTGGCGTTAATGTCGATGTTTATGATTTGTCCACGCGGATGTTATATAGCGGTGATTTGGTTGGTTAAAAGTTCAATTACAATAGTTCATTAGAGATGCTCAAATTGTGGCTACCCAGCGATATGGAGAAATCATTTCGCTTATGTCTTCCCACAGTCGTTTAGTGTTTGTTTTACTTTTTTCCATTAATTTATTTAAATTTAACTTCAATCTCGTGCTCTGTTTGCCCGTGAGAAGAACAAACTGCTCCGACAAACTTCGTCGGCGTTGATCCAATCTTGAGTTGTACCATAAGTCTTCGTTAATAAGTCATTTGGATGTGGTATTGGAAACAAATAACACGTTTGGCTAGCAAAAAAGAGATGCACCATTTGGTACCTGTTATTCTCTAAACACCATAAACGTGTTATTTGACCAAAACCGGAGAAGGGGTTGGTGTTCTCCAAATAACAGGTTATTGTCTTTTTTCTTAGAGTGAATCTGCAACTCAACAGCCACTAGAATATTTCGGCTTTTATCGAGTGTGGAGATTGAAGTGTTTCCGGAGTTTAAGTTCTCATTGGTTCACATAAGAAAGCTATTGGCTGGTGAAGGAAACAAGAGGGTGAGGCGTTCATATGAAAGCTCCTCCAAGAGTTCCTCTGACTTGAAACCTTGATCCTATCAAAATATGAGATGTTTGAACCTTGTTAGGTTTATTCCTACCACGTGTCTTGAAATTTACCAGGACTAATAGGCAACAATGTGGACCCTATGGATGTCTACTTTGAGGAATTCGATGCAGTTCAATCGATGGATGATCGATCGTGTTGGACTGTCGTGTCCAGTCTCATCCACGCATGAAGTCGGGTTTGAGGATGTGTTCTTTGAAGATAGTTTTCGTCTTACGTACACAATCAAATCGACAACAAACCAAGCACATAAATCAAACAGAAAAGATAGATGAAAGCAAACTTATATATATACCGAAATCAAAAGAGTTTACATAGTCAAAAAACCTCTAGGGTTAGCCAACCTACGCAACTAAGTAACTAATCTTTCATGGAGACAGTAAAGTACTGTAGGAACATCAGTCGAAACGAGATCCTCAGATCACCCTTAGAATCTATATGCACAACAAGGAATCAGTCGTTATATCGCCAATTATGGTGCTGATTCGCCCTATGAATTCGGCTTCGCTCTAAATTAGGAGAGTCACTTCCTTTTATGCCTCCTATCACTAGCTACCAAATTTTTACCCATTGTGGGTATATTTATAGGCTTATATATCTAGTTCTCTACGAGGAAAACTCGTTCTAAAACAAGTTTGTCGAATTCCTTCGATCTCTTCCAGTTTGGCCACCAAGCTTAACATATTCCTTCTGAATCTGTACTCAATCTGGATATTTTTTAATCGGCGTACTAGGCACCATTTTGGGCTCGAGTCTACTGATTTCAATGCCATTTTTTAGACTTTGATCCATCTCGCATTCTGACTCCAAACAACCAGGTCTTGATGTTCCCCACTCGTACAAGATGGTCCACCAGGATACTCTTGCTTGAAAGCACATGAAACACTACCAAAAGTGCATCAAAATAAGGGGGGGGGGGGGAAATCCTAGAGCTACGAAAACACACCACTAGTGAATATCAAGCAAATGCAAGTGATTATGATACTAAATATGTGAAATCCATGTAACTATAGCCATAATAAAGGGGTATAAAATAATAAATTTTACATGTCATCAAATAACCCCTCACTTAAACTTTCTTTACTTGTCCCTAAGCAAATCATACTCATAATCGTATAACTCACTGGACCTCTATGATACGTGATTTTCGTAATAGGTATTGGATTACAAGCAGCTTATAAGGCCAACCCTCATACTTAGAGTATTAGACCACATCAATGAGGTACATATCTCGCAAGGACAATCTGGCCAATCTCAGTCAATCATAAGCTCTTAACTCAATTCTAGAGTCCCAAAACATTTGGGGTGAAGTTTTTTGCAAACTCGTTATTTTATGAAGAAAAAACTGTAGTTGAACATAATTGATTGCACCTTTGACTTCTAAGTTCTAATCAAACAATTACTAGAAATGGTTCACACCTCCTTGAAAATAGTTCAAGCAAGGGTGTTCAATGTTTTTTATTATCTGTGTGAAAAAATACATTAAATTAATATACTTTTATGGAGATTCAGTGAGAGATCCAAAACTATAATTATGGCTAAATTTGAAGCGAAAAAAGAGAATAACAGAAAAGACATTGGGTTATTTTGTGTGAATTTGGCGAGCCCCCCCCCAGCTCTGCCATCTTTACCCCCAATGATCTCCCTCCTCTTCTCCGTACTTAGTCTCATTTCTACCCGACCTCATTGGACTAGAGGGGTATGATGATGATCACCCCTTGTCACACCAAAGGGTATTACTGATGACCACCTCCCTCGCCACACCAGGGGTTATTGTGATGATCGCCCCCTTACCCTTCATCACACCATGTAGGTCATACTGATGATCACCCCTATAATTACACCAGGAGGGGTACCCAACATTTAGTCAATTTTTAGAACATGGGTGACAATGACACAAACTTCATGGTGGCAAGGGTATCACGGGCCCAAAAATTATATCCTTGTGACTCATATTAATTTCTTTATTTGGTGTCAATGTATTCAAAATCTTGATCCTACATAGAAGCATTTTGGATTTAGAAGTGTAAAGATGTAAGCTTTAAAGCGTAGATTTTGAGTACAGTTGTAAGCGAAAAGCGTGATTCTACATAGAAGCGTTTTGGTTAACTAGAAGTGTAAAAGCGTAAGTTTTTAAGTTTTAAAATGCGATTTTAACCAATGCAGTCAAAATCACGCTTTAAAACTTCAAAGCTTACGAATTTACGCTTCTAGGTCACCACAAGCATTTTCGTTTCCATATAAAATATGGCTCAATTGCGCTTTAAAGTTTAAAAGCTTACGCTTTTACGCTTCTAGTTCACCAAAACGCTTTACGCTTTTATGCTTCTAGTTCACTAAATCGATATTTTTTTTCATGAAGTTAACTTATGAAAAGTATATTTTAAAGGTAAATCACCAACAATATGATACCATGTTATCCAAAGTTATCCATGAATAACAATTTATATTTATAACTTTTATTAACATGTTAACAGATATATGTGTTCCGATATTACATAAATGCAAAATTACACAATAAATTACTAGAACAAAGAAATTTAGTTAAAAAATAATACAATTTCATCAAAATATTTTATATTTATCAATACCAATACGAGACACCAATATTGGGTCAGATCCTATTGGTATCATACATGTATATAATCGAGTAGGTTAAGTCTCCAACAATACTGGGTCAAATCCTATTGTATAACATTAACATGTTAACAGATATGCGTGTAACGATAATCGAGCGGATTAAGTCTGGATAGTGCGAAAACTATACTCATCCATCGCCCACAATATTCAATTCCGAGTTTTATCCATATCCATTACAAATCTTTCGATATCAATTTTACTCTACACAATTAAAACAAATTCGAACAGATATCCACGAATACTATTATTTTTGCCATACGATTCTGCTTCCTTCTAGGGGTGGGCATTCGGTCAGCTCGGTTCATACCGAATCGAAATAATGCATACCGAGTCCCCTAATTCCATCAAACCTCAAACCGAATTTGAACGGAATTATAATTCACTTCGGTCTGTTCAAATTAAATTAGAGATCAATTTGGTTCGGTTATTCATACAAAACCAAACTTATTAGGTTAGCTTGTATCTTCTCCTCCCACATTGAATTCCCCACCTTTAACCCGCGCACAGCCGGTGCCCATCACTCCAACTCTTTAACCAAACCGACGGGCTCCGCCGGTTTCTCCGCTGGTTTCGCGTCTATATATCCATTTTCTTTTTAATAGGAGTCTATATAGTATATATCCATTTTCTTCTTTTTCGTCAAATCTCTCTCTCCCTCTTTAATAATAATTCTTTTTTCATCCGGTATATATAATCCATTTTAACTTCTGCGAATTTCCAGAGCAGTCCGTAATCTGATCTGCAACGTCATCGTCTCTGCCTCCGAGCTCCCCTGGATCTCGCCCGATTCCAATTCCGTGAGTACTGATTACCATCCCTGCCTTCGTTTCTTTCTTCGTCTTTCTTCAGTGCAAAGCGATTCCGTTTTTCACTTCCCGGTGAGTTACTCTGTTTTTCATGTCCGATGATTGCTTTCGCGCTGATAGTAGTGGTGTTCCTGGCTTTTCTTTTCCTCTTGGTTAGCTGTTGTTTTCCTAAGCTGTCTTTGATCGCTTCGTTTTGGCCCAATTTTCATCTCCAACTGCTAACTTTTATTTTTTGGTTTGTGAATACTAGTTAACCTTTCTGGTGATGATTGGTGATTGATTATGGATTGTTCTGAATTCTGATCATTGATTTCTGTTGAGAGTAGTAATCCTGGACATGGTTAATTCAGGGATGCGATTTTTTCATTTATTTGTTCAATCAAACTCTGGTGGGAGTCGTCCTGATTTTGGTCACCAATTTTGTTCGATGGGTGTTGCTTGTTTGCTTGCCCAATTAGGATTCCACAATTCCAGGTGTTAGCTTCTCAGCATGATCCTTGATGTTTACAAATGTTAACTGTGTTTTGGCGGTTACATGCCATGACAGTAATTTACTAGATGAATGGATATGGACGATTGATGCCAACTGCTTTTGAATTATTGAATTGTGATGGTTTTAATCCGACCGGTTCAAGCTGTAGTGTTTTGTTCTCTCAGTCTATTTGTTGTGTGGTTCTGGATTCAGGAAGACCCTCTACTCCGGCGATGGCAGATAACGAGGAAGGCGAGGAGAATGCCTCTCGAGGGAACGAGTGGGAAGTTGTTTCACTCACAGCTTCAACATATGCAGCTGCCCCGGGCCCAACAGAAGTTGAATTGAAGGATGATGATAATGATGGCGACGCTAATCAGGTGTATAAGGCCGAGACTTCTCATGCTTTGTTCATGTCTGAACACTTTGTCTTCCCGCCCAGCCAGCATGAGAATTTGCCTCTGGAGCCTGAACACAGTGAGATTGTGGATGATGTTACTAGTAAGAATTTGGGCTCTGGATATCATGCTGAAGAAGGAAACGTCTCCGGTGGGAAGGATGATGGGAATTGGCCATTGAAGGGGCTAAACATCTCTGAAGATTTTCCAGGGGCGCAGTTCTTTGACACTGGCAGTAATCAGCTTCTGATCTCGGGTAAAGAGTTTGAAGAGAGTGCAGCACTGCCAGAGTTGCATCTATCGGACAAAGAAGAAAGTATATATAGTACAGCTGCCTTTAGTTCTTTGCACAGTGAGACAGGCCTAGGTGGTTCTACTGTATATGGCGGCATTCATGAAATAAATGAATCTGTTGATCAGGTTTCACATCTTCCTGTGCACAGCTCTCACTCTTCAGAGCATCATGCTAAAGATGGTCAATATGAGCGGCCTAAAGAAGCACTACCATGTGAAGCTTGGTGGAAAAGAAGGGCTCTTTCTGTGTATGGTCATGCCAAAGAGGCAAATACATTTTGGTCTGTCTTTGTTGCTGCAGCTGTTATGGGGCTTGTGATTCTTGGCCAGAGGTGGCAACAGGAAAGGTGGCAGGTTCTGCAACTTAAGTGGCAAGCTACCCTCAGCAGTGAGGTCTCTTTCTGTCTCTATTTTTCACCCTTTTCCATTTATGTATTGCAGCAAATCCCATTGATGCAATTGGTTGGCCTGATGTATTTGGGACATAACACTTACCAATTCGTTGGCTTGCTGTGTTGACAGAAGAGTGGGAGGGTGCTGGGCCCGATATCTCGAATCAAGGATGTGATCGTCGGCGGCAATCGTTGCCACGTTTCTTTGATGAAGGGACCTTCCCCGAACGAGCACTGATATAAAGATGATGACGATAAAATTGGCAGTTGTGTGTGTGTGTGTGGGGATACTGATGAGAAACTGCTGAAAGATGGATTTCTTAGTACTGTAATTTTCTGTTATGGCTTTTGAGTTGTTCCTGTCTCGTAGTAGAAAGAAAGGAATCGATGTTGGTTAGATGGCACGTAAAGGGAAAGTTCGACACTGTTATATTGTTATTTGCTCTTTGTGTAATTGGTGGCCAGTGATTGATTCTGTTGATATGGCATGCAGCTCTGTTTATCACCGGACCATCCTTGCGCTTTATGCCTTTGCCTGCTGCACTTTTCTTCTTGCTTTATCCTCTCTTTTGTTTTAGAATGTTCCTTTTTTTAAACAAAGAAATACTTCTACTGCATTCGAGTGTGCTGCACGATAATAAGCGAGAGCAGATCAAGAATGGTAATTGAATTGTTTGGAAGTTCATTTCGAGCAGGTGATTGTGCGACTCAATCCACTTTTACATGATATGATTATGATATAAAACTAACAACGGGAAGTTAAGGGGCTCTTGAGCAACTAGATTAGTCAACTTTTTATGGGAATATTAAAATAGAGTAAGGGTAGTTGTAATGTTTGATAAGAAAGTAGAGGGTCCAAGCAATTGGGCATATTGCTTGTAACTGGGTTACAGTATTCGAGATATTTTGGATTTTATTTATCAACGATAAATTGATCAAAGTAACTGGTATCATTCTATTGATTGACGAAGCTAATCGAGGTGTTCAATTGTACTCAACGAATTTCAACTACATTTTCAACAAGTATTACGTTTAAGATTTCATAACGTTGAATTTTTAATTGTCGAATAGTCATTGTTGTCTGTTGAACAATCTTACACCGAAAACCAAATAAAAATAGCGCGTCTTTTTACGGTTTGGTACTTTAAATTTCTTGTCCCACTTGTGTTATTCGTGTGTCTAGTTTCAAAAGTTTGGAAACAGGAATGACAATGTGACAAATTGGGGCGGATATCTCGATACCCATATTCGTCCGGTGGCAGGTTCGGTCTAGATCGAATTATTTACCATGGGATGCAGGTCGAGTTAGGTCGACCCATATGTCTATGTAGTTTCAATGTAAAAATTTTATAAAATTTTATATTAAAAAAACAAGAAACAAACTACACACATGATGAATGTAGTTTATTCGATAGATTGAGTTTCTCACCTATTCACAATTTTATTATGCTAAAATATAGATAATAAAAATAGAATGCTATGTAATTTATAAAATTACATGTGATTTAGCAAATAACAGGTAAAAGATGAGGCAAGTCAGGACAGATCAGATCGGGGAGGCTACTCATGCATGTTCACCCCGCCTACTAGATCAATATTACCTGCTAAAAATAGGTCATTAATTAATAAGTAAAATGGGTTTGGTCAAAATTGTGATTAGTCGGAATTGAATACCGACTGAAATTTGGGCCTGAAAGTTCACCTTTCGCAAATAAATATTTGGGCTTTGACTAATACTTTTGGGCTAGAGCTGCGTCGTTTCCCCCCCCCCTTCTTTTTCCGATACGGGAAACAGAATTGAGAATCCAAACTCGATACTTTTCGATCAAAACTACTCTCCTTCCATTCTAGCTTTTACTCTCACCGTGTTCTTCGAATTGAAAAGCTAGGTCACAGGGGGGAAGAAGCTCGTAGAGTGGAATCCAGTCATAATTGACTGAATCGACTACTGAGTCGCGCGAGCTAAAGGGAATAACAAGAAGGAGGAAGAACATTTCGGTTTGATTTCCGAGTATAATTCAGTCATCACAATCTTTCCACTGTCAATGCAAGTTTTTGTGTATTCTAGCACTGTGTATTCTTGGTGAAATGAATTCAATCTCTTTGTTTGTGCAATTAGTTTTTTGCATCTCACTTTAGCTCACATGTGTACCGTGCATTGCTGCAGATGGTATGATTTTTGCATGCTTTTGAAAAATGGGGAAGGAGGAAAGCCCGCAGGCTGCAAGAAGGACAACCAGGTCTTCTTGTGCTGCTGCTTCAAATGGCGAGGTTGGAAGGTCGACTTTCACTCCGCTCCACAATCCAACAGTCAGTGACCTTGCTTTTGGAGGGGAACCCCTTAGCTCTGAAGACCTGCGGTCTGGTTTCCCAGCTAGGCGTCCTCAGATTCTTGAGCTTGTGCATCTCTTGGGTCCACCCAGTTCCCCTATGCTCCCTTTGTTTGTCTATGGAGGTGCTTCTACAGGCAAAACCACCGTCATTCTTCAAGTTTTCAGGCACCTTAATCGTCCATTTGTCTATGCAAGCTGCCGTACTTGTTATAGTCCGCGGATCTTGTTTGAGTCCATCTTAAACCAGTTGTTACTTCATAGAAAGAACGAAGCCAGCGGCTACTCAAGTGCAAAACGATGTGAAAAGCCATCTGATTTTGTGAACTTTCTCCGTGAAGATGTTGGCAAGGTTGTTGATAGTCTCAAGGATCGCTCAGGGAAGCGGAAGTCGAATAAGTCGCGTAAATGGCCGAAGGGAGATATCCTCTATTTGATCATTGATAACTTGGAGTTGGTGCGGGAGTGGGATAAAAGTTCCAGCTTATTGCCTTTCCTGTTCAATCTCTATGATATTCTGAAGTTGCCTAATTTCGCCTTGATATTTGTTAGCAGTAGCTCACCGGATACATATTACTCAAGTATGGGTTACATAGAGCCTATTCCTGTCTTTTTTCCTGAATATACAGAAGAAGATCTTCGCCAACTACTGATAAGGAATCAAGCAAACCAGAAGCTGTACAGCTGTTTTCTTGAGTAAGTACATATAGAGATCAACTTCCGTCTGCAGTTTGATTTATATTAATGAGACAGTTAGTGAATTTGTGTTCTGTTCCTTGTCAAACAGCATTGTACTCAGGCCATTCAGTAGAGTAACTAGACGACTTGATGAATTAAGCACAGTCTTTTCATCTTTGTTTCAAAAGTATTGTGAACCACTGAGCGATACGAGTTCGTTTCCCAATGATGAGATGAAGAGAAGATTGTTTAGTCACTTCCGGCCTTACATTTCCCCTGCTTTGAATGAGATATTTTGGGGGCCATCGCAGTGTTTATCTGGAATTGAATCTGGGAAGGTTACTAGGCAGAGAGGTAGCATAAGAAAGCATGAAGACAATGAAGATTTTACCGAGATTGGTTTCCATATGTCCACTGCTGCAAAGTATCTTCTTATCTCAGCTTTCCTTGCTTCAAGAAATCCGGCTACCCTGGATGCATCTTTGTTTGACTCCACTGGCGGTTCAGATAATCGCAAGCGTAAGAGGAAGTGAGTACATTGCATTTTCTTAGACTACGGAGTAGATAAATATTGTCAGTATTGTGGAAAAACTTTGTCATTCGATTTTATCTTTTGGGTTTTCATGTTCCACTTAGCATTGTTGCCTAGTTTATCTAGTTTCTTCTCACTTACAACTTTAGACTGTTATTATATTGTGATTAACCAGGGCCTCCGAAAAGTCGATGGAGCAAAAGGAAACTGTAGAACAAGAATCACTTATGAAAGGACCCGGAACATTCCCATTGGAGAGACTACTGGCTATTTTTCAATGCATAACATCTGTAATCGATGTGTCGATTGACGAGGAGGAACATGGAGATGGGTTTTCCACGGATGGCGGAAACAGCAGCTGGCTCATGTCTAATGTTCTATCGCAGCTATCGAGTCTGTGTGATGCTAATTTCATAGCCAAAGGGGGAAGCTGCCCCTTGGAAGGTTCAACACGGTATCGATGCACCATTTCTGAAGATTTTGCTCTGAAGGTTTGTACTGATTTCTCTTTCGGGACGCGAAGGATTCAACCGGGTAGTCATTTAAGTTGGATCTTTTTTTCTTCTGTGTGGTGTTTTTGGAACATTGCAGGTAGCTAGAAGCATCAAGTTTGCTCTTCCAAACTACTTGTGTAGAAGGTAATCTGAGCGAGGGAATGGATAAAGGAACTGAGACAACAACCGACCAAAAGGGTTGTTTTCTTTTCTCTGTAGTGGAATGTCATTCCAAAGCAGCCGTGGGGTTCGAGGTATCAGCACAATCACATATATGATTAGACGTGGGCTGGTAGTTGGCTGGCTGAACTTAACTTGCCCTGCTGTGCACTAGCAGTTGGAAGTTGTGGTTCCTTTATAATTTGGTAGGTGCTGAGATCCGTGAATACTGGTGTACTTACTTGTCATTACTTCCTTTCACTGGTACGTAATAGCAGGCACTGCTACCTGCTGCAGTGGCAGAGTTTGTAGAAACAGTAGAACAGTTTGGGCAAGTGGATGTCTCTGGGTTGGGTTGGGTTGGGTTGGCTAGCCACTTCAAAGCCAAAGAAAGGCCTTTTGCCTTTGTGTTAGTTAGGTGTGGGATTGGTTGATGGAAATGGGATTTCTGTATGTTGTTCGATCGGACCAACTACCTTATTTGGGATAAAAAAGGCTTATTCAGTATTTTTTAACCCTATGGGGTCAATCCCACTGATTTTGTCTCGACCATTCAACTGGCCACCTACTCTAATCTACTTATTGTTAAGCCAACCATCTACCCCCTTTTAACCCTATGACTATGAGTCGTATCTAGAGTCTCGAGCATATGGAAGTGGAATAAAGAGATCACGATGATCACAGCTCGGGGAGTCGGGAGAAGCTGCAAACTCAAGGGGAGACTGTTACCTTAAGAATTTGCTTTGTTAATAATTTCTTTGTTTTCACTTTGTTTTATTAAGAACTTCGTTGTCAACTTCCTTTTTTATGACTACTTCAGTTTTAATGACTTTTGAATTGTCAAGTACTAAGGGGGAGCATCAGTACATTTGATTACGATCGCAACATTAATTTTTTTCTTCTTCTGACTGATATGTTGTTTAAGTGAGTTGTAGCGTGTGAGATCTCTCTTAATCAGCTTTGAGCTTGTGAGGAAGAGTGTGTTCGATTCGATTTTAGTTTTGGTACTGTAAATGGTTTGAATCCCAACCGAAGGGATTCAATTGGAGCTAGAAAAATCAATAAGACAAAACCCTAGAAAACTCAGACTCAAAGGGCATACACTATTGAACCAAAACATAAGCAATAGGCCGAACTCAGTTAAAAAAAAAAAATCACATGTCATCTCTTTTCTTCTACAATCTTAATGTTTGTTTGCCGCATTTATGGCCCAAAGCCAATCCCTAGAGGAAAAGGGTATTTTTGTGCAGATTTTTTTTTTATAAATCCTTATTATGTTTTACACACAATTATGGAGTCGGAAAGCAACACCTAGCCCATCTCAGTCCTCGTCAACAAAAACGAGTCGACAAATTCATTTTAACCGATCGTCTTGGGCATCCCTCTGATTCGATTGCTCTTGCTCCATTTTTTTTTTCCAGATTTGTCTTGGAAATCAATTTGAGAGTTGATCAACATAGCTTTCAAAAAACGCTGAGCAAAAATTAGGTAGTGTTCTTGCCTGGGAACTTGAATTGTTCTTATTATTGCTGGTTTTAGTAGTACCGAATTGTCCATATTTGTGATTATCTTCCCCGCTGCTGCTGCAGGCAGAAAATAATGAGCCATGCAAACAAATGGACTGACAACACAACAGTCTTCACTACATAACATTATCCTATTCTGTTCATTTCATCCTATCCCCAAAGTCAAACCTCATTTCCCAACAATTTTTTTCTTATTAAATGTTATGCATTTCAACTCCTAAAGTCAAACTCGCGATCTCGTTTTTTCTTATAGCTCTGAAACAACACACATGGCGTCCAGTGGCATGTTTATATTTATTAGCTGCTGCAATTTGGTGTCTAGTTAAATAAAACACCCCCATCCAAAAAAAAAAAAAAAACAAAACAATGTCATTTTATAGAACGGCGTCCAACCTAATTTGAAATGATTAGAGTGGGTTGAATCTGGCGTAGACGGGTTTTGGGTTGGGACAACCCCACTTTTTGTATATAATAATAGTAGCTTAATGAGATTGAACCCGATCTATGAACTCGCTTTGTCACCAAAATTTTGAGGACCCATGGGTTTGAGTTCAATGTTTATAAAAGAAAATAAAAAATGTCACCAAAATTTTGATTAATTCATCCGATGCACACCTGAAAACAAAGCAATCGAACAAGGTTAAAATGGGTTGAATCTAGTGTTGACGAATTTTGGTTGGGAGCGAGTTTTACCCGTTTTTCTAATTGACGGGCTGGGTCGAGTGTGGATTTTGTTAGAAACTCTACCTGCTTTCCATCCGATTCGCACCTAAAAACGAAACAATCGACCCCGTCAAAGCAGGTTGAACCTGGTATTGATGAGTGTGGGTCGGGACTAAGTTTTACCCTCCTTTTGTGATTGGCTAGTTGATTGTGAATTTTGTTAAAACTTTGCCCGCTTTCCATCCAACCCTCATCCAAAAAACAAAACAATTACATTTTATAGACGGTGTCCAACCTAATTCGCAATGATTTGAGTGGGTTGAATATAGTGTAGACGAGTTTTGGTAAATGACCCACAAATTTAAATGGCAAGATCATTTCTCCTATACAATCCTAATCAACTAATTTAATAAGTAATCATTCAGTAAATTTATATATATGATCCCAACCCTCTCCCTAGCTAACTAAATTGGCATTGCTTCACTACTGATATGATTAACTAATTATCGTATTTATTATATAGATAAACAGGCGTGTGAAACTGTTATACACAAGAAACTATCCAACCTCTAATCTTCCCAGTTAGCTAGCTAGGTAGCTTGTAAAAATAAATATCCAACCACCCTCTCTCCAGTTGGTGATGTTCCAATTCAAAGCCAAAAATTCACTCCATCATCGATTCATTCTTTTCCATTTGTTTTTACGTAACCGCAAATGCCTCCAAAGTTCATTTACTTTGCATCACATTCGTCATAAATTGGCAGCAAGGTATATAGAAAAAACGCCATCGTTGTATTGTTTTTTCATTATATACTTTGTAGTCATGGCTAGATAGGCTGCCCACGAGAATGGCCACCGCTGCCAGCATGTGCCTGCAGGCTCTAAACCTTGCTTAGGTTGCATGAATGAGAGCGTGCAGTACTACTTGAAGAATTTGATTACCCGAAATTGAAAAGAACACGAGACACGAGAGTTTTACGTGTTATTCTCGTTCTTGATTAAACGAGACTTACCCAAGGTGGTAAGGTTGGAAGAGTTTATGACTGACGTTTTATTATTTGATTACTACATCTTGCTCGACTAGCTTACCACAAAACTTGGTAGCTTAGTTCTTAGATAGACAAAGTTTAGGCTTGCCGTGGCCTTGGCTTGACAAGCAAGGAATACAAAACCATATAATGGACAAGGAGAACTAATGGTTATTTACTGCAATTGGACTTCTTACTCCAATTGGACTTGTAACTAACCGAGAGATAAGCTCCAATTACAAGTCCAACACTCCGGCTCAAGCGAAGACATGAATAACGAGTTTGAAAAGGAAATGTGAAGAACAAGCATGACAGGCTTGTACCACAAAACACAAGATGAATGACATCTCGGACGAGGTTGATGTTGGAGATGACCGATTCTCTCTCTGAACAAACTGATGAAGATGGTTAACTGCTTCTTCTTGAACGTTGTGACAGAGACGATTATTATGAATCTTATACCACTCTCTTATGCCACAATAAGGCAAATGGAAGATTGGAAAAGAAGTGAGACATGCATATAATGTGTTAACTTGCCGACTAACACTAGATTAATTAAGGTAAAATTGGACACAAAAAGCACATTGTGAATGAAAAAGATCTAGTGACAGCTGAACATAACATATGTGACTGACTTCTACTTTGGCTCTATCTGAGAGGTGAAACAAACACAACAGACATATGAAGAGACAACAAATAAAGAGTGTCGAGGAACATGCTATATTGGTCTTATGTACCAGTATCCAGAATCCAAGTATGTGATCATGTTTCATTGCGATGATAAAATGAGAGGAAATGACAAATTTGCCTGCATGATTAGGAAATTAGGGTAGATACCGAGCTATTGAGGTAATGTAGGTGAACTGGATCTTGATGATTGCAGTAGATAATATGTATTATGCTTCTCTCTAAATTCTTCTGCTACTACACAGGATTTCGGATTCTCAGAAGCACAATGACATGGAACTATACAATTAAACTGTGTATAGTAACCCCATAAACTCTTGATATGGGTATAATATTGAGCAATGTTTCTAATACCCTTCTTGAAAGCATAAATGTTAGCTTGTAGGTTGGGATAATTTGACAACATTAGCTTGCCCGAACCGATCCCTAAGCTCATCCCGTAATATCTAAGCATTTTCATGGGTTTAAACACTTCTAGCAATCTCCATATCCAGTGATTTGTTAATACAACATCGCACTTTAGTACTATTCGCATCTCATACATTAAACATCTCATTATTATGATTTGGAACCCGAATCGAACCATCTATGAAACCCAACTTTTGCTTAGTGTTAAGAATTGTTTTCATAGCCCTTGACCATAAATAAAAATTTGGCCCATCAACCAAAATATGAACAATAGATTGAGCAAGATTTTAATGGAGCTGTAAACCTTGCTCTAGTGTTTGGGTTGCCAGTGTTGTTGAAGTTTCCGAAGTTAAGAGCCGGTGTGAATGGCGAGTGAGTGCCTAATCCACTTCCTCTAGGTGGAGTTTGTGGAGGATCTTTCATATCTACTCAAAGCTCTGATACCATGTCGAAATCTTGAAGAATAAGAAGAAGAGAATGGTCAGAAAAGTCTGAGTTCAACAAGAACTTGGGTGGTTCTTATTTATACCACTTCAATTTTTAGTAGCTAATGGTGACTAAAACCTTACAATAACACATGACATGACTAACAAGTAATTAACAACTATTGGCCTGATAAAAACTAAATGCACTAACTCTAACAGATACTAAGTGAAACGAGACATCTTGGGCGAAGGCTCGAAACTTTCTCATACAACAAATTTTCTTCAAACCCAATACGTGTTTCAAGCCACAACTTCTTCTTCAACATTGTGTTCGATTATCCCATCCACCCATCTTCAATCCGGTGGTAAGACCAACTCCACCGCCCATATTTGGGTTTTTGGCAATTTATGTGGTGGGGGAGCTCAAACCCACTATAAAAGTCAAGCTAAATTTCCAAATTTGAGGGAAAATGGAGAGAGGGTGGCCAAATTTGAGGGGAGGGGAGGAGTGAGATTGACCAAATTTGGTTGGGAGGGGAGGAGTGAATTGGGAAAGGCAACTCGCACGCCCTAGTTGTGCGAGTCACCCTCCTCCTTTCCTTTCTTTATGTTTTAATGGGTCTTTTAGGGTGTTTTTAGATACCTTATGGACAAAAAGGTAATAGTCAAGTAATAAACATCCATACAAAGCAAATGTTGATTGCATTCGAACCTCACGAGTCACGATCAATGTGAATACGGTTTGTTGAGCGATGCTGATGTGATGAAGCTTCACTAATGCGTCGATCGAGTAAATGTACGTAAACGTTGATGGTGAAACTTCTTGTACTCTTCCATCTCTTCTTCCCATCGGTACGACGAGCTATGAGTGAAAGGCATAATGATGTATTTGATTTAAAAGTGGAGAGAAGTTTCAAATGAGTTTTATGTGTGGATGACAAACATGGTCTTGTTATTTATAACATATTCAGCCAAGTTGTATGCAAAAAGAGAAAAAAAGATCATATTATAAAGGACAAAAACGGTCGTATGATAGTCATAAAGTATCAGACCTAAATTAGCGGATCTTTTTGGTACACAATTTTTTGTATTGGAATTTGACACAAATTTATCGAAAAAAATTTCTTAAAATAATGACAAATTATTAAAAATTATAGTGAAAATAATATATTAGAATCTCTATAAGTACGATTAATGTGAAAGAGATTAAAAAAGGCCAGTTAAATTTGAGAGGAGTAGATAATACCACTAGTTTTGAACCTGGAGATCTCATGTTCGAATCTCTTAAGTAGTACCTAATCATAAAAAATAAACCTATATCACCCTTATGATTTTTTTAAAAGGAGTAGGGTTTGAGTAAAAAAAAAAAATGTGAGCCAAATCTTGGGAACCACCATGGTTGGGAAGAAAAATGGTAAAATTAGGTAGAATGGTTAATTGATATCAAAATTTAGGGCGCACTTAATTGAGAATAGTTAATCAAAATGTCGTGTTTGAATCTTGACAACCTCATTTCTTAAGCACACGGTATTCAGATTTGTGTAAACTTCAATTTCGTATAAGAACTTGAGTTATTGATACTAAACCGTTCTTGACAAAGGACATTCGAAAGCGCGAGCTACTAACTTCATCATGAATTATTGCTTACTGTAAGATTCATCATTATTAAACCTATCTCAACAACCGCGCGAGTTATTAATACTAAACGGTTCTTGACAACGAACATCACCGAAACAAAAACGACTACCTAAATCATCATGAATGATTGTTTGATACACTAACTGATATTCTTTACATTTTCGACTACTAATTTATTTTAATTTACAAAAAAAAATTTCAATATAAGAATATATCATCAATGATCAACACAGTTAACAAAAATATTTTATCGTATGTATTTTCCTCCTCAATGAACCCACATTAAACGAAATCCTAGCTACGTACGCCTCTGCACATTGGTTGGGTTTTCTTATAGCAGAGTGAATGTTTCCTCTACGTGTATATATATACATCTTGAGAAATGTGAAGAATTTCAAGCCATGCATGCATAGTGCTCCCATTGTTGAAGTACTGACTAGCTAGGGTTATTGTAAAAGAAAAAAACTAGCTAGAGGTACAGAATTTCTTGAGTGATCTCCGTGAAAGCAGATATCATCAGTCGTAATATATCATATATATGATCAGTTGGGCTAGCTGCCGATGAACGTACGTACGTGATCAGCGGGTTGGCACAGAAAAAAATGAAGCCGATCGAGCCAGCCAGCCAGCTATATACAGATAATATTATCTACGGCTACAGAGCCATATATACCCATAATTACGTTGGCGGTCAACTTGCTTGAGTTGACCCTTTCGTAAAAGAACAATGCCGGAAAAAACGGCAACTCTCAGGCCAAGATAGACAAAGGCCACTGAATCACTCCGGTCCGTCCGAAAGCAAAGACGGAAAATGGATCAGAACACAGAACTGGCGAAAACTTCCAAAAGCCACGTGTCCTCCTCACATTCTCTGTCCCGCCAACGTGAGAACTGTTGACTTTTTTCATTTCCCGCCACAATATTTTAACCACCCAGCCATGCATTTATATAATTGACCTCCCACCACAAGGTCAAAACTGTGGGAGGAAGACGGTTTCCCAGTTCAATGCAAAGATTTTATTAACCATTTTTTTTTAAATGACGAGATTTAGCTGAGTAGAAGAAGGAAATTGGAATTCCCGCAAGTCATCAGGCATTGAGTTGAGTTTAGTGGGCTACTAATATTTAGGGAGTTGGGTTGCTCACCCAACCTTTACCCAAAAACACCCCCCAAATTAAATATATAAATAAATAAATACCCTTAATTAATTATTACTATAGAGAATGCAACAACAAGCCATGTTCATCATCTTCCATTATTTTAGATATTGACTTGTTTGATTTGCTTTTCCTTTGAGCGCTAGCTAGCTAGCTAGCTATCTAGCTGGGTGTTGGATCAACTGTCTTTGCTGTCTAAGATTCAAAACCCTTTTGCTCAACCAATCTCATTAAAGTCACCTCCTTCCTTCCTTTCCTTCTCCTTCTCCTTCTCTCCTTCATTCAATGCCCGAATTTAAGTCTCCCTCCCCCCTCCGCCTGCAAAAGTAGGTGTGCACAGAGAGATGAAACAACAACAACAAAGAAAGAAAAGGTAGACAAGAGAAGAGTTTACGTTGTGTGTGGTAATTAAACTGTCTATTAGCTTAATTGCCTGAGGAAGAGAGGGGGATTAGCACTTGGCAGCAACAAAAGGGACATTGGTGGTGGTGGTGGTGGTCTCTATCTGTTCGAGAGAAGCCCTCCACGGCCCTTCCTTCTTCCTTCCCCAAACTGCCTCAACCAAACTCTCATAAACTGCATTTATGGCGGTTTCGCATCTGAACAGCGAGAAAGAGAGAGATGGAGAGGAGGGCGAGAAATGGGTAGTGTAATTCGAAGAAAACCAGTCTGTCCTCCTTTATTGCTTTCTCTGTACATCTCACCTATAAAGTTACACTCTCCCTTCTTCTCACTCTGTACTCTTCTCTCCCACTACTCTCTTTCCCTTCCTTCTTGTCTCCATTCTAAACAGATCTCTCTCTAGTCTCTTCCCCGCTTTGGGGTTTTCCTTTTTTTGCATTCACGCATTTCGTCGAACACCTGATGGACATCTCCACGGCCCTGCTCCTCCTCTCCTTAGTCACCGCCTACCTCCTCTGGTTCACCTTCATCTCCCGCTCCCTCCGCGGCCCGCGCGTCTGGCCGCTCCTCGGCAGCCTCCCGGGGCTCATCGAGAACTGCGAGCGCCTCCACGACTGGATCTCCGACAACCTCCGCGCCTGCGGCGGCACATACCAGACCTGCATCTGCGCGGTTCCTTTCCTCGCCAAGAAGCAAGGGCTCGTGACCGTCACGTGCGACCCCAAGAACGTCGAGCACATCTTGAAAACCCGCTTCGACAATTATCCCAAGGGCCCCACCTGGCAGGCCGTCTTCCACGAGCTCCTCGGCGAAGGGATCTTCAACTCCGACGGCGACACGTGGCGGTTCCAGCGCAAGACCGCCGCGCTCGAATTCACCACCCGGACGCTCCGCCAGGCCATGGCTCGCTGGGTGAGCCGTGCCATCAAGCTCAGGTTCTGCCCCATCCTCGAGTCGGCGCAGGTCAGCGGCGAGCCGGTTGACCTCCAGGACTTGCTGCTTCGGCTCACTTTCGACAACATCTGCGGCTTGGCTTTCGGGAAGGACCCGCAGACCTGCGCGCCGGGCCTCCCCGAAAACGGCTTCGCCTCGGCTTTCGACCGAGCCACGGAAGCCTCCCTCCAGCGCTTCATTCTCCCCGAGGTGATCTGGAAGGTCAAGAAGTGGCTCCGCCTCGGGATGGAAGTCAGCTTGAGCCGAAGCATATCTCAGCTCGACCAGTACCTGACCGACGTCATCAACCGGCGCAAGGACGAGCTGATGACTCAGCAGCAGAATACCGACAAAAGAATCACCCTCCTCCACGACGACCTTCTCTCCAGGTTCATGAAAAAGAAGGAGTCCTACTCGGACTCCTTCCTCCAGCACGTGGCGCTGAACTTCATCCTAGCTGGACGCGACACGTCATCCGTCGCGCTGAGCTGGTTCTTCTGGCTAGTCATCCAGAACCCGTCGGTCGAGGAGAAGATCCTCCGCGAGCTCTGCTCCGTCCTCGAGGAGACACGTGGCGCTGACGTGTCGAAGTGGCTGGGCGAACCGCTGGAGTTCGAAGAGGTTGACCGCTTAGTCTACCTGAAAGCGGCGCTGTCGGAGACGCTGCGGCTCTACCCGTCGGTGCCGCAGGACTCGAAGCACGTCGTCGCCGACGACGTGCTTCCCGACGGGACCTTCGTCCCCGCGGGGTCGTCGGTGACGTACTCGATCTACGCCGCCGGGAGGATGCGGTCAACGTGGGGGGACGACTGCATGGAGTACCGGCCGGAACGGTGGCTGTCGCCGGACGGCGGGAGCTTCGTGGCGCACGACGCGTACAGGTTCGTGGCGTTCAATGCGGGACCCAGGATATGCCTGGGGAAGGATCTGGCTTACCTGCAGATGAAGTCGGTGGCGGCGGCGGTCCTGCTCCGGCACCGGCTGACGGTGGCGGAGGGGCACAAGGTGGAGCAGAAGATGTCGCTGACGCTGTTCATGAAGCACGGGCTGAAGGTGAATGTGGCGGAGAGGGACCTTGAAGAGACGGCCGCGAGGATGAGGGCGGCGGCGGCGGCCGGCAGCGGTGCTGTTCGTAATAATAAGAATAACGATAAAGGACCGAATTGCAATAATCAGAAAGTTGAGGAGCATCAGCAGGCAACGGTGACGGCGACGGCCGTGAGATGTAACGGTACGTGTGAGAGTGGGAGTGCAACTGATCATCAGAGGAAGGCGATGGTAGTTGGGGTGGTTTAATTTTTATTTTTGGGGTCATTACTGCAAGCCATAAATTGTTGAAAAAAAATGGGTTGGGTGGGGTTTATTTTGATTTTTCTTCCTTAAAAAATTATTTCTTTCATTTGTTACTGGTACTATTTATTTTTCTTATTATCTGTTTACCGGCTGATTTTCTTTCTTTTTTGTTAACTTATTTGTTTTATTTTGGGATGGGGGAAGTGGTTGGATTTTTGGAACATTATTCTTCACAAGTCTAAAAGGGTGGTGGGTGCATAAATTTGGAGTTACATTATTGTTACTTTTCATTCATGACAAGAGTTAATACTCCAATATAGCTACAACAACTTTGAACAAGTTGATAGTGTGTGAAGTTTGGTACGTAACTCTTTTGTGTCTTGGGCAAACAGGGCAAAGTTTCCATGTCTTTCACTAAAGTCGAATTTCGTTTATGTGTTAGAGGTAACTTCTGAACTTGTCTGGTTTCGGCGACTTTTTTCTGAGATGGATTCTTCTGTTATTTAAACTCTGCAATTTTTTTGGCAATGATACTAGAGCTATTCAGATAGCAAATAATCATGTTTTGCGTAATGATATATGAAGTAGATTGAAGTCCATGTGCATTTCATTCGCAAATTTATTTCTGGTGGATGTTTGAAGCTCTACTATATATCATCTATCTAAAAATCAAATTGCTGACCTCTTAACTAAAACGGTTTCCTATTCTCGTCATTGGTTTCTACCTAGCAAATCAATGGCGCGTACCATGGTTGGTTATTAATTGTAAATACAGTAGCAGTGTTAGTCGGCTGGTTGAGTGGTGTGATTTTGGTATATGTATATACCTTGTACATCAGCAGAACGACATTTAAGGAAAACAATGTTATTGACCGAGAGTCCTAGCTCTCTGTAGAGTAATCTCATTCATATTGAACAGGGAAAACCATTTCAATCCTATGTGCGTTAGTATCTAACAAATGCTTCTCCGACAACAATAGGAGAGGAATCACTGAGATTTGAAAATGTCATTGAAAAACTCAATTACTACGGGTAGTGAGAAAGAGAAGTCCAAGTCCAGAACTGAAACTGCATTACCCGAAATCATAATCTAAATCGCCGTCAATGAACTTGACTGTTGGGGGAAGCAGAGAGAGAAAGAGAAGTCAACTTGGCTCAAATCCAAAAGTATAATAATAAAAATAAGATTTTCCATCAAGAACTAAACAACTAAGGAGGCAGGGAGAGAAAGATAAGTCATCCTAGTCGAGGTGCAACAATTCGATTTTTAGCGTCGAGAAGTGCAATTTGTGGAATGGAAGAGATGAATTTCGATATTTCCTGGAAGAGGCGGATGATTTGATTGATGGATTGTTTTATTTATAAACTACATTTCATAATTTTGAAATTAAAATAATAAAATTTGGATAAATCATCTTTGGCTGACGTGGTGGGCATGTACTAATCATGTTAGTCACCAGTGTATATTAAGTTATCACCGATCTTAAGAGTTGATTGTTGGAATTGACGGTCAACTATGAAAAGTTGGGGTTTAAACTATCTCTTTGTGCAAAGTTGAGTGCATATTGATGTATAGATAATGTCTATTTTTTATCCAAATCTTTTTTCAGATTCTTTTATATTACGCAAACCTATCGAAATACTAAGAATTAGCCAAATGTTAGCAATTTTGTTAGTTATATTGACTTGACAACATGATACTGACTTGAAAGAGACACATGAATGTCAACATTGCAAAATTTTAGTATTTTAACTAAGAAAAAAGTTGCAAAATTATTAAGGATAACACAAAAATGGCTAATATTTTGATGCATTACAAAAATTTTGGCTAATTGATAACATTTTAATAGGTTTGGATAATATAAAAGAAAAATATTTGGATAAAAAATAGACTGTTTGATGTATTAATCTCATGCGAAAGGAAATGAGAAAGGAGAAGAGAGACAGGTCGAAGCTGTGGCATTTAAATTTTGCGGTTGAAATTCATGTGGGAGGGAATTAAATTGGGGGTGGTGTGTGGGGTTTGAGGGAGGGGCAAATTTTGTGGCATAAAGAGGGGGGCTAATTGCAAGGATGGTCACTGGGTTTACTAAAACCGTTCATATTTGGTCACTGAAAATATTTAATTCCATTTATGGTCACTAAGATTAGTTCAATAGTTCAAGTTTGGTCACTCTCCGTTAGTCTCCGTTAGTTTTTGCTGATGTGGCAGTCAACTATTATAGTTGACCATTAAATGAGTGACGTGGCCATTAAAAAAATAATAAAATTTAAATATTTACAATTTCCACCTCATTTTATAACTATTAAAAAATAAAAATAAAATTTATATCCGCCATCTACGCCACCGTGGCCATGACGTGATCGTCTCCGCCGCCCTCCTTCCTCAATAGTTATTTTTTAGTCTAAAGAAGCCGAAAGCAAGCCCCAAAAGGAGAGCTTGTTCTTCCGAACCATGTTCCTTTACGGCGGGACGAATTACTGGCGAATGGTGGAGCCACTCGACATTGCAGAGTTCTACCGAGACGGGAAAAACAGAGACTACAAGAAACAGGGGAGGTCGCCCCATTATATTCTGCTGGAGAAATGGCAGAAGGAAGACGCGGCAGGGAAGGGGAAGATGAAGAAGAAGGAGAAGAAGCCAGTGGATATGAGGATTGAAGATTCCTGCTTCTGGGCGGATGTGGAGGAGGCTCTGTTTGCGGTGAGATTGTTGAAGCAGAAGGGTAGCGGCGGCGGTGGTGAGTTTAGTGAGGCGAAGAACCGTTTGGTGGTGTTCCAGAGGTATGTGATGGAGCAGATTGAGAACTTTGCGGTGGATTCTGAGATTTTCCTGGGGGAGAGCTCGTTCATGGTTTGGTGGAAGGAGTTTCAGGAGGTTGCTGGAATTGTTGGAAGTGGTAGTTCCAACGGTGAACTTGTAAATATTTTTATTTTTATTTTTTAATAATTATAAAATGAGGTGGAAATTGTAAATATTTAAATTTTATTATTTTATTATTTTTTTAATGGCCACGTCACTCATTTAACGGTCAACTATAATAGTTGACTGCCACATCAGCAAAAACTAACGGAGACTCACGGAGAGTGACCAAACTTGAACTATTGAACTAATCTTAGTGACCATGAATGGAATTAAATATTTTCAGTGACCAAATATAAACGGTTTTAGTAAACCCAGTGACCATCCTTGCAATTAACCCTAAAGAGGGGAGATGAACTTTTTGGTGCATATCCTAAAATGCAGAGGATGTATGAATAGTTTTGTAGAATGTCACGTAGTCACAGGGCTGGATGATGATTGTCGACGTCCATGTCCTTGTAGGAGTTGTATCTCCTCTCGTCTCTTTTTCCTTTACATAGCCGACAAGGCAAGTCTCTCCATGTATAAATAGCAAGCTAAGCTTGCTGGGATCATAGTTCGTCATCAATAAAATCAAGTCATAGTCGAGAGCTCCTTCGAGCTCTCCGTGGATTAGTCCTGTTCACATCGAACAGGGATACCACGTAAAATCCTCGTCTTGTGTGATTATTCCATTCTCTTTTTGTCGATTTTATCATGGTATCAGAGCCTGGTTTTGAGCGATCCGCGTGTTGTCTCTCTCCCCACTCTTGGTTCCTTGCGACGGCCGCTTCTCTAGAGTTTCTTGATTATGGCTGGCGACACAAAGGAACCCAGCGGAGGTCCTTCTGGTGTGATGAAGGACGGCCCAGGCCCTTCCTCACCATACTTTTTGCATCCGTCGGATCAGCCTGGGCACGTATTTGTTGGTGAATTACTCACCGAGCTCAACTATGGCGAGTGGGAAGCTGACATGCGTCAAGCACTCTTGGCGAAAAATAAATTGGGTTTTGTTACTGGAAAACTCATCAAGGTAGAAGCTGGATGGTGTCAAGATGCGTGGGAGCGTTGCAACGCCATGGTCATGGGATGGTTAAAGAATTCAATGTCTCGTGAAGTTCGTCAAAGCGTGCGGTATGCTGAAACCGCACAGCAAATATGGTCTGACCTAAAGGAACGTTTTGGCATGGGAAGCATTGCGCGCCTATATCAACTACGTCGGTCTATAGCTCTTCATCAACAAGAGAAGGCAAGTGTCTCGGCTTTCTACACCAAACTTCGCAGTCTGTGGGACGAGATTCAAGCAATCTCCCCTGCACCCAAGTGTACCTGCGGGAATTGTACCTGTGGAATCGAGAAACGGATGCGTGACACTGAGGACAGCCACAGGCTCTTCGATTTCTTGATTGGACTCGACGACGTTTTTAATACGGTACGCAGTCAAGTCTTATCCATGAAGCCCACGCCAACTCTTGGGGAAGCATATCAAATGGTGAGTAATGATGAACAGCAGCGCATTATCACGAGCAGTCGTCGACCGAAGGTTGAAGCAGCAGCTTTACAAGCTCAAGGAAACCCCACATCCAAGCTCCAGGGGGAGTCCTCTTCGGCGGCTCCTCGTACTCAGGATGGTAGACCATGGTGCACTCATTGCGAGAAGGCAGGACACTTCAAAGATACTTGCTATGAAATAATTGGTTGGCCAACAGAATCTGATGGGGGACGTAATCAATCCGCTGGACGTGGACGTGGACGTGGCAAACGTGGGCGCGGACGTGGAAATCGGTCAGGATCTCCACGAGCTGCTCAAATCGACTCAAGTGAGAGCAGCGTCCCAGGTCTTTCAGCCGCCCAACTCGCTCAACTGAAGGCATTCTTGACCGCCGAGACAAAACTTCCAGCTACTCCCACCGTCAACATGGCAGGTACAGATCCTTCTTCTCTCAACCTTGATCAAAATTCATGGGTTATTGACTCTGGGTGTAATGAACACATATCTAAAGATATTTCTGTGTTTTTGAATGAGCTCGAGACGAGCAATGGTCTACAGGTTAAGATACCCAATGGAAAGGGTGTTCCGGTTAAGGGTATAGGAAAAGCAAAGTTGGATAATGGTCTTATTCTTAATCATGTGTTGCACGTGCCTGACTTCAAGTGCAAT